TTCCTCTAATGGTCTTTTTCAGCATCAGTTGACATCATTAACATAAGGCTCTTGATGGGAGGAAGTTTGTTTGCAGACTCAAGCTATTTCACTCGTGATTGGAGGCTAGCAATAGGAGGAAGCCTCTCTGCAGAAACAAAGTATGGGCAGTGTTGCAACCGCGTGATTCTCGGCTGACTCCCTTGAATAAGACGCCCTTCGATTTTTAGGGGAAGGATTTTAGGAAAAAGTATCGTCTTATAGTTGGAAAAATACGGTAAGTTGTTGCCACTTGTGTTTGACTTGGGAGATGTTCATTTGCTTATTTTACATTTTGGGAGGAATCAACTTACAGGAGAACCCACTTCCCTAGGCCTAAGCTTTTAGACAAATGTATCCAGTTTTTCCCTTTAAACAAAATGACCAGCCTCAAGCAGTTTTAGAATGTGTGTTGCTAGCACAAATCGAACACCAGAGTTACAATGAAAAAAAGGGGTTTAATTTTAATAAAGGCAACCAAGTGAATTGTTGCAGAATAAAATAATTGATATAAGAGGTCTAACTACGTACAGGAGCTATCAATCAATAATCAGCACACAAAGAAATGAAAAAGAAACCAGAAAACTAAACAACTGAACAGAAAAGTATTGAAAAGAAGTAAAGCACTTGGCATTTCTGCCTATACTTTCCCCACCAACTTTATTCCATGGGCCCCACTTTTGCCTGGATTTGGGGCAGAAGCCTTCATTTATTGGCCCAGTCAGTAAATCTACTTCTCCATTTCCTGCCATTCTGAGAACATGCAGCTAATATCTGACTAGAAAAAGAAAAATTCCAGCTGTTTCTTTCTGGAAGAAGACTGGGGCTTTAGAGAGCTGTAGAAAACTTAAGAGTCACCAGCTAATCTGTACTGTCTACTCCATTAGAGAATCAATTTAGTTGGTGAACCCAGCTTGCACTGGCCATGGTTTTAGAAGAGGAGAAGTGGGCTGTAAAGAGAGTACCTCTCTTTTCATCACGTGCTGCTATTGGGGGTGTTCTAGGCCCCCGTGTAGCATCACAGAGGGCTTGGAGGTGTTATTTTTCAGCGCTGGTGTTAGATTCATTGTTTGTTTTTAAGCTATTGCTGGGTTCAGTCTGACTATATTATCAGTATACCTGTTAAGTAATAAATGGAAAGTAACAGGAAAGTAGAAAATGGCCTGCCTCCTAAGAAGGAAGTCAACAAAGACACTGAGTACTGACTCGGCCCATTTTTCTTTCAAATGGGTAGCGCTACAGATTAGAAGGTGAAAGCTTGGACAGGTGTGTTCAGAGCTGTGCACATTGGATTTTAGCATTAAAGATTTACTAAAGAGAAGCTAGGCAAGATAGCTGGAAAACTTCCTTAAACTAGTTATGTTTATAATGAAGTCGATTTGAAAATACTTATTTAATGGTTACTGCCTTCACAGAAAATTACAGAACCTGTAGACTGCATGCCATAGTAACTGAGATGTACCAACTTTTTATGTTGTTTGATACCAACAGGATTTGGTGGCAATTGTATTTGTTCTTTGTTATTAAGTAAGGCTAATAATTGTGCATTATTTAAAAGCAGGTATCTGATGAGGAATTTTAATTTGATTAATCATATATGTTATACTTACCTGGAGTAATTATTTTGAAAGAACTCTTTATATACACAGGCATAAGAGTACCGATATTTCACACACTCTTAAGTGAAAAAATAATCAGCTTTACATAAAATGACCTTGGAAAATGTAAATGGTTGCAGTGTTAACATAAGCTTTGCATATTGAAATACCTTCTATAGTTAGGAAGTATGTGCAAAGGTGTGTGAACATATTGGTTATCAGAAAACTGATATCAGTTTTGTCAATGCTTAAATAAAAATACTTTGGTTGAAATTGAATCTTAAATATACAGCCTGAAAGCAACTAAACAGGTAAGCAATGTTTAAACCATATTGTTTCATGTCATTTGCACTGCTGCGTTTGAAATATTGACATGAACGTTACTATGTGTTTTATTACTACGTTTTCTATGATATTCATTTGCTTGTGAACTTTCTCTAAAGCTTTTTTTTTTTTTTGCAGCATTTGCAGATGTTGTATAATATTTGTATATCCCGGAGTGGAGGTAGGAGATGAATGTTCATATTTTTTAACAATACATGTATGACTGCATATAGAGTTCTATAACATAATACATTGCTATATGTGTGGGGGGGGGCGGGGGAGGAAGCTGCATTGCAAAAGTATGCATTGTGAAAGTTAATTGCAATTTTGTTTGCATATCAGTTTGATAAGGGGAGGTTTGGAAAGTTTGTATTAGAATGTGAAATGAATGAATATGGATTTCATCTGTAAAACTTTGTACATTCATCTTTGATAAGGTCAAATCATGTGAAAATGCTAAATAAAATAATTTTTGTGACCATGAGTCAGCATTCAAATCCAATGCCCTATTTAGCCAAGTGTTTGAGAAATGCCTTTATTTTATTACCAATTTTTTTTTATTATTTTTTAAACAAAAGATGAAAATCCTTACTTTCCAAGGGCAAAACATTCCAGCTGAATGGATGTGCCTTTTGCTGCCTGCATAGTTTCTGGAAAACGCACTTCAATCTTTGGCTCATATTCCCCCATCACACCTGTTGAATACCAAAACAGCTTGCAATCCAGTTGCGCTTCAGACTTACTACAACAAAATAGCAGCATTAAAAAACAACAACAAAAAACGGTGGCTTTACTTGTTCCCATGGAAACTAATAAGTGTCTTTCCAGTGAAAGTGGGCCACTATGGAGAATTTCATCATTCTACAATGACTAATGTGAATTCCATAAATCAACTCACAACAGTGAGCTCCCCTTGACCTCTTGATCCAGATTATGAAATGAGGCCCAGCCTTGGTAATTGCCAGAAAGCACATTGCATTCTGTTCCAATTCATAAAATAAATACATAAATAAATGAATCTAGTTCTAAAGTCTTGCCAATCAGTCAGAATAGAAAAACCATTCAAAAAATATCCTGCCAAACATTAAGAGTTTAATTTCCCTGCCAAATGCTTTTCTGACTTAATTTTGAAGAAGCCAGAGTTGAATATACTGATTGATGTTTATAGGAACTGAAGTGAAACCATTCTTATAATAAGCCTAACATAGAAACATGTTTGGAGAGCACAAGGTTGGGAGAAAGGTATTATGTAGCATGAATTCAAGCAGATATAGTCATAGTTATACAATAGACCATCAAGGGTAAAACAAAATTTTTAATGATCTTTAGAATGCTAAGCAACTTTAAGGGTACTATATTGAAATGGCTGCCATGAGGGCAAAGCCCTTCACAAAATTGGGCACAACCCAGTCAAATGTATTTAATGTCAATTTTAACTAATTAAATGATGTACAGTAATTCATAAAATGCAGGCATAGACCTTTAAATTAATTAGGTTCCTTCTCAACACCCATTCTGATTACAATTCTACTAATACATTTATTTCCTCCTTCCAGCTGTAAAATAAATTTATTACCTGTCCCCCATCTATTAGTAAATGTGTTTTCCTCAACTACAATAACTTACATTAAATTAAATTTACAAACTGATTCCCTAATCCAGCCTCTATCACCTTTACAATGAATTTTAGAATTGATTTTCCAATTGATGTCCACCCCAATCCCAGATAACTCTAAGACATTTGAAGGAGAAGTGGGTTATCCTAGTAAAAGGGGCCAATGAAAGCATGTCAGCAGGAATTTCTTCGCTGTTCTGGCCAAAGCATGAAAAAGAGACATACAGTCAGGCCTACACATCCCCAAACTTTCCCCTGTCCTCTAGCTAAGACAGGCATACACATAGTCCCAGTTCTCCTTCTCTGAGACACATCTGCTCTTCCCAGTGAAGGGGATGACAATCCCTTCATTTCTGTGGCTCTTGGCAGCAATAACACAGTATTTTATTTGTTGTGGCTTTGAGAAACAGGCCTCATGTTTTTGTCTCCCTGGCTATTCTAGTGAAAGAAAACAGAATTGCTTCATTTGCCCTGCCATTTTTATTCCCATACACTAGGAAGAAGGAAAACTCTGGCTTCCAACAAAGGCAGCCTCTTTGAGACTTTGCATGGAAGATATGAAGCCTATGGGCCTTGCTGGGGTTTAGTGAGGGACAGACCCACACATAGGGGGCTGGAAAAAGGCACTGTTGAGTGGGCCGTGCATAGGAACCTTTAGGAACTACACTGATGACTCTACTTACACAAATGATTTGGCCACTAGGGAGCAAATATTACATACAAATACCATCTGTTGTTTCCTGAAGCAAATATCTACTGGGGGAAAGTAAATAATTGAGTGCTGGGCCTGGAGATGTTAATGTGAATATTATCCATCTAACAACATAATCTCTAATTTAAAGGATTCCACAATGTTTCTCACCTATATATCTCATTATGGATATAGCAACCATTCCAAGTTCTCTGTGTTATTTTATTTCTGTAGTATGAGTATGAAATGCTCTGCATTTTTGTTGCTATTTCATCAAAACATTTTGTGTACTCTGCTTAGGTCCATGGCTTGGAGGAAGCAATCTCATTTGTTAATGGATTTCTGAACTATGTATTTTCAATTGTGAACATTTAATTAAAAAGTTTCCTTCAGAAAAGAGCCTTCTTGCTTCAGCGCCTAAGCTGGATTAGATCTAGTTTGATGCATCTTACATCCAAACAACAAATGCCTGTCACATCTGAATTTGAAGATTCTTGAAATAATTCAGTGAATATGGGAATTAAGATTTGGTTTAGTCTACTCTTTTCCATTGCAATGAATTTGGGTTATGTGGCATGTTTTGTTTGCAGGACAGTTTAAACATGATAGAACAGAGTTTCAAGGCTTCTATCTAGGATACAGTTAAATGACCTAGTCTTTTGTTGGTGGCATTGACTGCCAGCCATTCAGAGCTATTTTAAACTGATGGTTTGGAGCCATTTCTACAAACATATCTACAGAATAGGGCCATATCCACAGAAATATCCCAATATCTACAAAAAATGGCTCCTGTCAATTGTACTTCTATAGGCACTCTGGGTGCCATCTCCAAGTAACATTAGATGGGGACCTATGAGAACAAGGACCTTTTTATTTGTGGGATCTCCCCCTTCTGAATGCCCTCCCTATAAGACAAGTATGGTGCTAATGTTGATCCTTTCATCTAAACTAAGACTTTCCTCTTCACCCAAAGTAGGTAGGTAGGTAGGTATGTAGGTACAGTTAGTTTTGATTTTAAGTGCCCATTATAGTAGGATCTCTCTCTCTCTCTCTCTCTCTCTTCCTATGTTGTTAATAAATGTGTTTCTATTTTGATGTTTTATTGTTTATTATTTTGATCACCTGTAAAGTACCCAGAGAACTCTGGCTATTGGGTTGAAATAGCAGTAGTAATGGCAACAACAACAATATTCCCCCTTCCCCCAGGATAGGGACTAGCAGTCTAACAGATCTGAGTTGGGATTCCCCTTGATGAGGCACATTGCATCATGGAGGCAACACAATTTTCCTTACCAAGGTAATGGGATTTACCTCAGGAGTCACCTGATATAACTTGAAGCCTTTACCAGTAGTTCTAATGGGTGGAGGAAGCTTCTGCCTATCTTATTAGAATTACTGGAGGGCATTGGAACTGCTGGAGGAAACATCAGAAGAGGGGAAGCAAGTAGGCAAAGCAGATACTCACATTTTGGAACAGGGAAATCAGTAGAGTGGTCCAGTCAAACCTCCATTAAACTGGATCACTTCACAGACTTACTCTTTAACAGAGGATTCCTAGCATATTCTCCCGACATATTTTCCGACTTATTTGGAAGAATAAATGGCACCATATAACTGAAGCCAGTTTTGAAGTGTGTTCATCTACCGTTCATAAATCTATAATGGGATATGAGAATGACCTTGGGAGACAGGAGGAAGATCTGCAGCCTAGACAACCATCATGTAAAAGGTGTCTCAGCTCACAGAAGGAAAGAGGGAGTGGAATGCATTTCAGAGGGGACCCTCCCTAATTTTCTGGAAAGTAAAAGTAAGGGAGGGGAGAAGCACCTTCAGACTTACAAGGTTCTATTACTGTAACCTTACAATAAAAGTAGTGTTAGTACTCATGGTTTGTGCTTCTTGTCTGGACTACCTTGAAAAGCTGACAATATCATCCTTTACACATTCACTCAATTCCTTCATTTTATCAACAAAAGTTAGAAATGAAGCAAAGACTCCAAGAATCCTTAAATTAAATGAGTAATGCAAATCTACCTACTTTCCTGCAGAGATTGGGTGCCATTTCAGAATAAATGTAATAAATTAGGATTATATTAAAACAAAACAACAAAAACAAAAACGTACCATCACTACGAAGCACAAGTGGCGTGGGTGGCCCCTGCACACTTCGTTTTATTTCTTTGTTTGATACAACACAAGTGTAGATGCCCACATCAGAAGCTTCCACTTTGGCAATATATAAATTTCCTGTCTCTTGCGAGACAAACCGACGATCATCTTCCTGAACATATAAGGGGCTATTGTTGAAAATCCAAGCGTATGATAAATCTGGAAAACATCAAATGCTTATTGCATATATTTTCCTAACAAAGTTGGGAAAGTTAGCATGTTTAGAACATCTTTTAATTAATTGTCTACATTTGCTTTGATTTTGATTAAATAAAACAGGATATATCAGTAAATATAGGACACAATGTTACAGTGTGTGTGTGTGTGTGTGTGTGTGTGTGTGTGTTTTAATGTAGACACCTCTTTCCATTTTTATCCTGGAGTGACTGCAGATACAATAGTGCTTACTTTAAATAATAATATACCAAATGCTATTATATAAAAGACAAAATCATTTTTAAAACATTTGCCTCTATGATGAGAAGCAATTGGAATGCACAAATAGATTCAGTACTGTTAAAGTATTAAATCACAGAGGTTATGATGATTTGGAATTCAACTTGTAACATTTCAGCCCTCACAGATCACAGCCCTCAATGTCAGCTTCAAAGCAATTCCTGCATAAATATTTTCAACCGTGGAGACTTTTCACCCTGGAGACTGCATGTGATCCAGGATAACAGGCTCAGTCCTATGCACCAATGTTGGGACTAGCCTGACAAAAGAGAAAAGGGAAGACCTCGTCTGTTCTTGCTTTTACTGTTTTCCTTCTTCAGTTCCTTATTTAGACAAGATTGTGGGATCATCACAATAATATGATAATATTAGACAGACATGCTTTCCAAAGTTCATTGATAATTATAAGTAAAAACTACTTTAGAATTAGGTTAAAGGAAATGCAAGCCTGTGTGATCCTAACACTATTAATTTATTTTAATTTTGTCTTCAGAGAGCCAGGAGTGATTTATTTTAATGATTCAAAGATAAAAGGTGACATCTGAAGATGGCAATCTTTCTCACTTTTGACTTGGCTGAAAAAAGTAGTAGAGGCTGAAAGCAAAGCAAACCCTTAAAACTCAACCAGTTTATTTATTTATTTGATTGATTGATTTCTATCCTGTATTTTCTCTAGCAACTCAAGAAAGCATACATAGCTGTCATTCCTCCAATTTTCCTATAAATACAATCCTGTATTGAGTGATAATAACTCAACTGGCCGAAGTCACCCACTGACTTTCCATGTTTAGGGTGGAATAGGCCCATTTCTGGATAGCTCATTGCCTACACAACCATCATAACTTCGCACAGTCTTCCACTTCACAACCCATCCATACTTGATAGCTATTTTGTCAGGTTATTTTTAAACATAGGTTTAGCACTCTTCTGAAAAGCAGTAAACCCATGTTCAAACATACCCCAAGCAAGAGCTGACAAGCACAGAGATTGCACCAGGAAATGATATAAAGAACACCAGCTTTTTCTTTCTTATTTCACCTTATAGCCTCTCACAGCCACAGTTAGTCGGATGCTATTTGGGCTTACAGTCTTGATGGACATGGGAAGACCCTGATTTTACAAATGGACTCTCCCACTGACCAAGGAAGAATGGCTCTGGAGGTTAGTGTACAGTCTGGAGAGCAGGGGGGTGGCATATCTGCAGCAGCCTACAGTGGTCAGTAGGTGCTGGCTGACCCCAGCCCTGTGGGATCCTATTAGTGTAATATTGACCAAAGCTCATGAAGGTCATCAGATTGCATTCACAAAAAAATTGTTGTGGCTTGTTGCCTGCTTAAAAAGAAAAGTCCATTTTAGAGCCAAAATTGATGCTAAGCTTCCTCAAATATAGGTTGGGGATTAGTTGAGGCTATGAGGTGAAACAGGAAAAAAAAAGCTGGTTATTCTTTATGTCATTTCATGGTGCAATCCCCCTCTATGCTTGCCAGCTGTTGCTTGGGGCATGTTTGAACATGGGTTTACTGCTTTTCAGAAGAACTAGTTTGATGTAGTGCTTAAAGGCGCTGGACTGGAAGCTGATAGGGCCATGAGTACCATTCCTGTCTTAGGCACAAAATCCATCTGGGTGACTTTGGGGCAGTCACTCCCTATTAGCCCTAGGAAGAAAGCAAGGGCAAAGCATTTCTGAAATTCTTGCAAAGAAAACTGCAGGGACTTCTTCATTTAGTTGCCAGGAGTCAAGAGTGACTGAAAGGCACACAAAAGCAAAAAATCCTGAATGTGTAGCGGGGGGAAGGGGAGGTAGACAGTTCGTGCTGTGTAAGTGGGGAGAAGTACCAAGTATGTTTTCCAAGTTAATCAGAAAAAGCTTTGGCAGGGGGAGAGGAGGTGAAGACTCTGCAGAAAATAGCATACATGGTTAATACATAAGGCCAGCATGACTAAAACTCTTGTATTGGCTAAAGCTTCTAATTTCCCCCTTGGATTTGTCCCCCTGATTTTAACTGATGATTTTATTTTGTCCTGGAGTAGGACTTTGCATGAGAAATTGAAATGCTACCATTTCTCACCTGATGCAACTCTGATGATTAGAAAGGAGTACATCTTGGCAGCCCTTAAAAACAGCATGCCCTGGATTAGCAAAGCTGATTAGATCTGACTGCTCTATCTAAATATGGGTTCATGGGTAGTTTTTTGAAGCCAGGGTGATACTTAAGCAAATGTACAGTTTCTAAATTCAGAAGAGTTCTAACTTTGACAAGATTTAATGCCTTTCCAACAGCTGCTCTTACAGGAAAATTTCAGGATTTTCGATTCAAACAAAAACTTTGTCTCTGTGGTGAAGAAATTAGTGAAACATTAAGATGTATTTTGTTATATTGTCCTTATTACAAAGATGTCCAGCCGCAGATAATAATTCTCCATCTCAGATTTCCAGGCCACCTGTATTCATTCTATTTACAATAATTATTGTCTAACTAACCTGATTTTATTTCCTGAATGTGGCTAAGTTTTGCTGTACCATGTGTAAATATGTAACGCATTGATCACGTCAGTTTCATAATTAATTTTATTACTATTTTAAATACTTTCTCAGAAATTGTCATCTTTTTTAAAAAAATTGGTCAATGACCATAATAAACCTTATTTATTAATTGATTCATTAATACTGCAAAAAACTCCAAAACAGCCTCCAAAACATGTTACCTTCAAAATTGTTACCTTTAAAATAAGAAAATGTGTGATTAAGGGGTCACATAGTGGGTTCACTGTCTAAACTGATTTCTCTTTCTCTTTCTCTTTCAGTCACTTGGTAGCTCTATCCAAACATTCAGTAAAAATAAGTTATCATCTTTTGCCCTTCCCCACTGCTTAGTCAGTAGAAACTATATTGGTATAAAATGGACTGTCCCCACCGCTGATCCTATCCTTCCTCTATTACCTTTGTTTCAGGTCACTGCAGTCACCTAATTTCCCTCTAAAGTGATGGGCAAAAAAGCCCAACAGATTTTAGGTGCCTTGAGGCTGCCCTTGGATGATGTCGGAATATGGGGAAAACTTACTTTAAAGCCAGTATAGCTAAGAATGACTTCAGTGTGTTCCAATTTGCTGGGGATAAGATGAAGGCATAGGAACACAGTAGAAAAGGAAACATTATCAGAGTAGGTGCAAGTAGGGAAAGGCCATACATGGGCAGCCCCAATAAACCTCACCACTCAGATGAAGTCCATGTCCACAGGACATTCACATATATGTAGAGTGGACATTTGCAGATAGAAAAGTATGTTCTGACTTCCACTCTGTCTCATCATGGTTGTTTGTACATGCAGGAACTAATGCATGTTCAATTATATGCCCAAAGCCAGTTTTTGTTAAATTAATAGATTTCCTGTGGATTCTGATATTGTCTGAGCAACGTTGTATGGTGTCAGGTACTCATACAGCTAATATGAGATACAAATAGGCTGTTTTGTTTTGTTTCCAAATCTATTTTTATATAGGCATTTTATGTAGATTTGCACTATGCTTTTTTCCTAAACATTATCAACGATGCCTTGAGTTCTGCCCCGCTGCTTACAGAGTTAACATATTACCTCATTGGTGCTGTACCAGAAGGACATTAAACCAGCACTGATGGAAGTGAGCTACAAGAGTGGCCACAGACATCTATTTCATTCAGTGTTTCCTTTAGAATGGACCCATACACACACACACACACACACACACACACGCATACATATTTGGATTATGCACTGACATGTTTTGAGGACCAACTAACCTTTATGCTAACTTTTTTTGTGGATCTCTCCCCTTCCCACCTGACATGGCTGTCTCCTTTAGGTGCTGGTACCTCATTTCCCTGCTGCTCTGATCTGTGTGACTCACTGCCCTTCTGTTTTGTGGTTTCTTCTCACCTTCTGTCACATTTTTCCTTCTTGTTGCCTGGAATTTGACAGCTGATGGTGGATCTCTCTCTATCATGCTCCAGCAGTGGCAAGAGTGGCATGGAAATTATTATTTTTTAAAATAAAGCGCAGTAAATCAGAAGTTTTGAAATCTAGCAGTTTAGCATCCCTTAATTAAATGTATAATTCATGAGTTTAGAACTTTCTGCCAACAGATTCATTTCCAAATGTTGCCTCCTTTCTTCACCCTGAAACTCCTTGCCATCCTCAATGCCATTTTACAAACATTATTTATGTTTTCAGTTGCAAAACCCATGGGATGATAATGACTCTCTAAACAGCAGTACTTTCTGAGGAACTTTATGCTGACTTCCTATAATATTATGTGACTATAATTAGAAACAGCAAGTCACTTGGGACCTATCAAAGATATTTTCCTTTTGAAAACCTTTCCCTCTCTCTCTAGAAAAGCTCGCATAATACAGTTAATACAGATTTAGCAATAGGAGGTTTGTGAAATCATAACTGCAGTATTTTGGCCGGGAGATGTGCCTAACATTCAAAGCATGGCTTCTCAAAAATGCAAGCAGTGAAGTAAGCAAACAAGCAGGGAGAGCAAACATGAATTTGGCAAGAGAATTAAAAAAGGCAGAAGAGATAGAAGAATCAAGAGGGAGAGAGACTGATGTTCACTGCTTATAATTGACTGTTAATGTCTGCCAATAGTTTCCTGAGTGATGTTGATAGGTTTCCTGAATGATTGCCCACTATATCTGATAGGAGCATTGCTCTTGCTGA